TTTCAGTAGTTTCAGTAATAATTTTCTAAGTATTACTGAAACTACTGAAAGATATTCAGTAATAAATTACTGTAAATTACTACTAGTAATATTTTGGCCGGTAGTTTCAGTAATACTTTTGTATAAGGGATCTAAGTGTCAAAATAGCAAATTGATCAAAATTTTAGGGAACATTTGTAGCTTCAAAGTAGCATTGAAAAGAAATATTTCTACTTTCATATCCATTTAATTAATAAATAACTTAATCTTCTGTTTTATAGGATAAGTGAGTAATTGCAAAATAAACTAATTTATTTATTATAAATAAAGAACATATAAAAGTTAAATTGCTTCTGGAATATAAACATAACACAATCAAATTAATATATCATGCTTTTTTTGTAGGGAATTTTTTGAAATTTTAAAAAGTTGTTAATTTATCTGTAAATTGCAGAGTCTACAATTGAAGACGAATCAGTTTGCAGTAGAATGAAAACAATTCTTATTGGCTAATCAAAAAATATTTGTGTTCAGGAAAAAAAGAAAATTTGTATTTATCTAATAAATAATTATTTAATAATAATATTTATTTAATAAATAATATAGAAAATTACTTTCTTTTCATTATATAATAAATAAATTACTGTATAAGCTCCTTGACAAAATGTATTTTAATACAGTGAAATGTAGTTTGCTTTAACTGAAACGTCATCAGTCTTTATTATAGAAATTATATCGTATACGAATACTTATAACATCCTCGATGCATTTTCGCATCGAATAATTGCGCCGAAATCGCTCGCACTACGTCGAATTGTGAAAAAAATCTCATATAATACTTGTCTTGATGAAATTAATTATTGCTTTGTATTTGTAATTTACGTAATTGCTGTCAAAAATTTATTATTGTGAAATTTATCAGTTAAATTACGTTTCAAAATGAAAATGTAATTGACGCGTGGTTTGTTAAAATTAAATATGTATATAAATTCAATTTGAAATATGAAATACGAAGCTGGATCAAAGCTGTAGCTCGTATCGAAAAGGCATTTCTCTTCCTAGTTGTGTTTTTATGTATCGATTTAATGTCATTGATATTGTATTGTTTCTAATATTTAAACAAAAAAATTGTAAAAGCAAATTATTTAGACTGATCTTGTTTTAACATTAAAAACATAACGGAAAAATAACGAATTGCTACCTTTTAATAGTAACTATATAGTTACTTTTGTGGTAAAGAATAATCCTACCAAAACTCTTTTTTAAAAAAAAGAAAAAGATTACGCCAAGTATATAAAAAAGTATCGTACGTTACATCCTCCCTAAATCAAAAATAATATTTTAACAAATAAAAATTGTCCAAAAACAAATATGAGATCATACAAGTTTTTGATTAGAGATTTGATTAGTATTTGATTAGACATAGAAACAAAAATATTTTTTTAATAAACCGTTTAACCATCCAAAAGTACATGCAGCGAAAGTTTAATGCCATTGCCTTTTCAAATATTTTTAAGTTTCACAAAACAGGCTTAAAGTGACTAAAATGACCAATGGTCAAACGATTAATTATATGTATTTTAACATGCAACACAATAGGTAATTTTTGATATTTTTTTTAATATAGTGATATTATATTACGTTATTTGTATGCCAATATTTATAATGTATATATTGTACTATATATTTACGGTACGGAAAAAAACCTACACGTGGAACAAATTTCGTATGTGTTTCGTCATGTTGTAATTACTCGTTATCATTCTTTGAACAATTGAGATTATTACCCCGACTGCACTTACACGTGAAGGATTGACCTTGCAGATAGCACACGGAGTTCGAAAAGAATTTATTCGTATATTTAGTCGTATGTCCTTAATTCTGAGTTCATTTTTAGGTGCAAAAATACATTTCTTTTCCTAGTTGTATTTTTACATATCAATTTAGTGTCATTGATGTTGTATTGCTTTTATTAATATTTAAACAAAAAATTGTAAAAGTAAATAATTTAGACTGATCTTATTTTGGCATAAAAAAATAATAGAAAAGTAACAAATTGTTATTTTTTAAATAACGGTAACAGTATAAGCATACAGTTCCTTTTTTGATTTGATAATCGTAGACCTTGGTTGTGTTCGCGGAATGCGCTACCAGTACTATTGAGCCATTCTATCGTAAACGCTCTAATTAGACGTAAAATAAAGTTGAAATGATGAAGCACGCTCCCCGAAAGCGCTATTATGTCTTTTCATATCTTTATCGTTAATTAGACATAAAACAAGGACAAAATTATGTAATAGTGCTGATGATAGCACGCTTCCCAATAAAGAAAAAAAATAACATTAATATCGCGTGTTGTTATGTTATACTATTCGCCAAAAAGTCAAATTACAAATACGAATTCACTATAAAAAGTAAGAGGAAATTATTGTACTTCTTCCAGTTTTATTTTCAATCTGGCGTGAGTTAATCATCGCGATCATGCTATCGCTAATTCTTTTCGTAGTCAGCGTTCTTGCACAGCGTATGTATTATATCACTCAGGAAAATGTTTTACTGTTCCAGCTAGAATTCTAGATATTCCACTTAAATTATATCGCTGTTTTTTGTATCTGCTAAAAAATTGTCTGTCATACATAGAATTTATAGCAGCAATATTTTAAAAATATATACAAAAAAATATAGGTCTCAAAACCAAATAATTGAAGTCTGGATTAATTAAACGTCATAGAGAACTCTCTTTGCTAAATTTGATAAATAGTTCAGATATAATTTCTGTCTCTGTTATATTGATATTAAATACAAAACGTATGTGGTATCGCAGTGCTTACTAATAACTTATCCGTTTTAGTTATTTGTTCGTACCTAAATAATTCTGACTATAATTGCAAGATTA